CCTATTAGCTTATTGCTATGTATTAAACGTGTTACTTTAGATCTTAGAAAAACGCAACAGATTAGGTGCATTTAGATGTTTTATTGAAATAAACATAGTGAAGTCGAACCATATTAATGAAATTAATTTGACAATACATTGAAGGAATTTTGATGAAAGATGGTAATAGACCACCTTGGAATGGAAGAGTTCTGGTGTAAAGAAAATCTATAAAATGTCACCAATTGACCAACCTGTTGGTCAGTTAATATGTCGACTAGTCCTTTGTATATTATTTTTTCAAAAACTTTAGAGCATATAGGATGGAGGCTACTGGGTCTGTAGGATAAAGGACTGTATATGTCTTTATAGTGTTTGTGAATCATCTTAATGAGTAAGTATTTCCATTGTAAAGGGAATTTGTAAGGGAAGTCCTTAGTATACAGTTATAAATTTTTGTCAGAAATACTAGAGCTTTCTTGGACATTTGTTGGAGTGCTTCGACTGCGATTAAGTTATAACCAGGAGCTTTTCTTTTCGGTAATTGTTTCATTTGAAGTGCAACCTGAGATGGAATAAAAGAAGGAGATGGTAGTGTCAGCTGAAGTGGGATGTCTAATGTGTTAAGTAGTAAAGTCTCATGTTCTGTGTTAGTGAAATCTGTAAACGGTTTAAATACAGAAGAAAGGTCTTGAGCGAAGAGTTCAGATTTTTCCTCATCCGTCCAGGATCCATCTTCTTTTCGGAGAGATGCTGACAGCTCTCGGTGCTTTAACAACTTTTCGGTATGCTTCCACAAGTTCCCATCGTCAGTCGAAAGACCACTTATGTATGCGTCATAGTTAGTCCTGTTAGTTTTTTTCTTTAAAGTTTGTTGTTTAGTAGGTCAAATATCTGTCTATCTGATGGGCATCTGTCAGTTTGCCATATTTTACGCGCTCTTCTCTTTGCTCTGATTAAGTCCCTTATGTACTGAGGGTATTTCGGCAAGTGCTCAGTTATCGCAGAGTTAAATTTTGGTATTGATGATTTCCAAGCTGCTTGTTGAATAATTTTGGTGAATGTTTCCACAACCTCCTCCAGTTCTTTTTCACTTTTTATGGACACTGGGATCAAAAGCAAAGAGTTTAAAAACTTTCTATAAGCATCCCAGTCAATTGGTCCATTAATGAGAGCTGGTCTTCTTTGTACCAAAAAAAAAAAAAAAAAACTGGAGCGCACAACACACAACTTTCACTTACCTCTCTAATGTGAATAGAAATTATTTTCTGGCAATTATGAGCCATTATAACCTTTTTGAAGTGCGCTTTTAACGGGGCTATAGCTTAAAGCTTACAGCTAACATATTAAGACCACTAAAATAACAAAAACTCTATTAATTATATCAACGATAGACAATAAAAACCTCGGTTCATCTGTTTCTGTAAACCACATAACTCCAGTCTCTGAGTTATATATATATATATATATATATTACCACAGTTCAGAAACTGGAGTTTATCAAGTACAATGAGGTGTACCGCTGAATGATCAGAGCAAAGATCAGAGCTCGTACTTATGGAATGAGGTACGGTACGCAGTTCTTTTGTAATAAAGGAGTCCAAAAGGTCCAAAAATTTATGTCTCGATGCAGGCCAGTATGTTGGTGTATCAGAATTCTTAGAATTAGGTTTCGACTTTAAATATTAAAAATAACAAAATTGAATTAGACTAATTTTTTTTTATAACCGATCAGAGTAATCATTGGACTACGATTTGATGAACTAAAGCAATGTAAACGGGCTGGTGAGCAATTATTAAAATCAATGTATGCAATTCAAAACACATTAACTTTGCTAAAACTGGTCCGATTTAGACGTATTTATTTTATTGAAGAGAAGAATAGTTGGGTGTTCAGTCAAAAGGAAGTAAAATAAATGATAATATTATTTTTACATATGCCGACGTTTCGTCCTGAAGTTCAGGCCTCATCAGGCTAAGAAATAACCAGATAACAAGGTATAAGAAACATAAGTAATGATGGTAAAAAAGATAATAACAATAAAAAAAGAAATTAAAAAAAAATTAGAAAATAAAATAGATAAATATAAAGTAAAATGAAATTGTTAGAATAATGACTAAGAACTAAGAGATAAATAATAAAAACCGTTACAAAGTGTGGAATGATGAAGTAGGCATCATTCCACACTTAGTAACGTCGGCATATGTAAAAAATAAATATTATCATTTATTTTACCTTCCTTTTGACTGAACACCCAACTATCTTCTCTCATTATCACGACAGTCAACCATTACAATTATGTATTTATTTTATTAATAAGTTTGTAGGAAATTTATTAAACTTTTAAAGAATGTTAGAACTACATAGTATAGAGATATTAAAAAGGAAGGAGATTGTCCGGGATGGCGGTCATAAATAGGCTAAATAGTGACAAAACTATTTTATTAAAAGCCAACGTTTCGACCCGACTTTGCAGGTCTTCTTCAGGGAGGTGTTATCAGCTAGGAGTTTCACTTAGAACTGAAAGTGTCACTTAGTCAGTAAGTGTCACTTTGGCTTTTAATAAAATAATTTTGCCACTACTTAGCCTATTTATGACCGCCACCCCGGACCATCTCCTTCCTTTATAATGCAACGGTTAACTATTAAATATTCAATATACAGATATTAGTGTCATTTTTCAGAATGGGTAAACCTAACTAAACCTCAACTAGAAATTGATATAGTTAAATGCAAAAGTATATTGGTTCTTAAAAAAATAAATATACTCGTCAAACGCCTCTTGAGAGGAATTAACGAACTCCATTGGTCCGTCAGTTTATTATAAATATATTTCGGGACTGATCTTCTAAACTCTTGAAAGATTTACGATCTGCCGGTAGTAAAAATAAAAATTATTACCACCAATAACTTCAGTTGGCAACTTTTCATTAGAAATTATGTTCTTCAATATAGGAATATTCTGTTTATGTCATCGTAAAATGATATTTATTATTTGCTACTATGTATGATTGAATAAAAAAAAAAAGAATAAAAATAAACAGTAATAGGCAAGTATCACTTACTACTTGCTTTTTATGTTTATCCGATCTTCATGGCATTTTCAGATATAATAAATTTCAGATTCCATCTAGTAAATTATTGCTAATTCGCGAGTAACTGTGGTTTCTTAGACACGCCTATATTTAAAATACGGCTCATTCGATATGGTTTAAAAACGTTGGGAAATGAGTAAAAAAATGGTGCTGTACGAATTTAATCGAAAACCATCTACTACTTGCAAAAAAATTATTTTCTTTTATAGAGATACTACAGTAATTTTTCAGAATGGGGTGATCTAACCCTGAATGAATTGGAAAAGTTAAATGCAAAAGTATATTGGCTCTACCAATTCTTTGCATATTGTAACTAAACTTTTCTAGTATTAGTAACAATTTTTCTTTAATTTTTATCCCTCATTAAACCTCTTTGGACATATGGAATCGAATTATGGGGAACAGCAAGAAATCAAATATAAAAATCATCCAGTCTTTCCAGTCAAAAGTCCTTGGGAAAATTGTAGACGCACCCTTTTATGTTTCAAACCTCACGTTACACACTGACCTTAACACTCCTTACATCACGGCAACTGCTACTGACCGCTTTAATAATTTTCATAACAGACTGACTCTAAATTCCAATCAACCTAGGACTCCATCTGGACAAACGTCTAACTTGGAATCCTCATACCAGACTGAAACGACAAGAAACAGCTCGACGTTTCCGACTACTTCAACACTTACTAGACAAACGCTCTAACCTTCCAATTAACTATAAAAGACTAATTAACTATAATAAGGCCTATTTGGACTTATGGAGTTGAGCTATGGGGCTCCACCAAACCTTCAAATTCCTCTCGCATCCAATCCTTACAATCCAAAATCCTTCGTAAAATCCTCAATGCTCCTTACTTTGTTACAAATAAAATCATCCATAATGACCTTAATGTTCCTTACGTATCAGATTTGGCCCAATCCAGATATCTGTCCTTCCATAATAAACTTCATAACCATCCCAACCCTCTCGTTTCTAACCTTGCTTCCTATTCAATTCCTGATAATCCTCCGAGGCGTCTGAAAAGAAGATGGCCACGTGATCTCCTGATATAGACATATAATTAGAGTACTACCAATGGGTAGTTTCTCAACATGTGTTTCATGTCTTTATATCCATGTGCGAATTTACCAGATGTATTTTTTTGTATACAGTTGTAAATATCATATAAATAAATTTAAAAAAAAATCCAATCCACTTACTCAAGCTCTATCTACTGCCACAAATCCATATAATCCGCCCAGAAGACTGCTGAGGCGCTGGCCAAGAGACTTATTGCATTGAGCTACTTGCTGCATTATCTTTTCTTTTTTTTTTTGTTTGTGTTATTCTGTTAATATGTATGTGTTATTTTACTACTGTTCTTTTGTTCGTTTTTTTTCTTTTTGTTGTTATTACTATTATTTTTTTTCTTATGCTATCATTTCTTGTCCTCGATATCATATTTTCTGAATACCGATGTAGATGGCAAATTTATTGTGAGCCAGAAATATCTATGTATGTATAATTTTTATTCACAAAAAAGCTTTTTTTTTTTTTAATACTCTTGGTTTTGGTTTTGCGACAATTTTTGGCGGCCTTGCATTTTGCAAGACCAAGACAGATTTTGGGTAACACTAATTACCTCAATCTTCCCTACTCTTCTCGTTATGGATTTTTGGAAATCCGTCAGTACAGTCTATCTTAATCTTAACATAACAAGATCAATCGGAATGTCAATCATCACTCGGAATGTCATTGCGATTGACCTCGTTTCAGTTCGCGGCATGCCATTACTGATGAGCGGAATGCTACCGCTGCCACGACGACACGTGAGTGCGATAAGGTTCAGTGATCCCTCCAGCAGGTGGGGCCGAGGAAGTGGCGAGTAACGAGACCCCATGTCCATTGAAAGGGGGTGAATCAACAGCCGGGGGCGGGGCGGCGCATGCGCGGGCCCTCGGGCTCGGGGGCGGAGCCGCGCTGCGGCCAATACTCTGGCAAGGCGAGCGCGCGCCGCATCCTCCACCGTCGCGACACAGCGGCAGTTCTCAACAGTCCTCGAACAGACCTCAACATGCCTCTGGCCACCTCTCGGACCGCAAAGTACACCTACCGCTCCAGCGGGGGCGGCACCGCCGACGTCAACATCGAGTACTCCGCCGACCTCAGCGCCTTGTCCAGGCTCGAGGTAAGCCTCTCTTCATCCACCTCCACCGCCATTCACTAACCAATCAGTCCTCATCTCAAACTTTTTGCACAGGACAAGATCCGACTTCTCAGCGAAGACCTGGAATCCGAACGAGAGCTCAGGCAGCGGGTGAGTTCCAAAAATAATCGCCATTCGCTTATTTTTTGCTTTGCTTTATTTTTTTGCCAAAACAGCTACTTTCTTAATCAACATAATATTGACCCTTAGAAACATTTTTAACTAACATAATATCAGTGAGTGTTCAGAAACTGTTTCCTAATGACGGAGAAAAAGATTCATATATGCGAAAATATAAAAATATTCAACTTTATATATGTATATATTTTAATAATTTAAATAAATATATATTTTTTTTTTTTGTACCGATTATATCGTAATTATTAACCATAATATCAATGCGTGAACTGCAATTATTTTCTAATAACGGCGAAAAATATAATATTATTATTTTTAAAGGTTTAAATGTGCACAACCATAATATAATATTTAAATATAAATATATATATATATATATATATATATATATATTGTGAATCTATTTCACGCGATGACCTTGAGAATTGATACTCATGTTATTTTTAATCTCGTTTCAACCTAGAAGTCATTATTTACTCAAGTTTATTATATAAAAAAATTAAAACATTTTTTTTTAATGTTCTAATTGGTAATTTGATAAATTTTTTTAACCGGCCGAAACTTTTTCCTGGTTTATAAATAAATAATAATATTCCCTGCTCACTTTTATTATTATTATTAACAACTAATAATTGAAATAAACTATAATAATATAAAATACCAGGATATAAGCGAGAAGACCGCGGTATTGGTGACGGGAAGAACTGCTCTGCCCAAATTAGGTCGGGGCGAGAGCGCTTTGGACGGAAATATTTTTATCTCAGGCAACCGGCCTGGTTATTCATCCGACTAGAATGGAATACTGTTAAAAAATTGTTTTAAAATATCTAAATATATATACAAAAAATATAAACATATATAAAAAGAAACGATTTTGACCTCGAATCTTAACCTTAAAATACCTTAATTTTGAACAATCCTTTCATTAATATATAAATATATATAAAAACTTAAATCATAGTAGTAAAATCTTGAGTTGTGGAATAACTATTTTAATTACAAATATTAATCGTATATATTTATTTAAAATAAATATTACAATATAGATATTTACGTGGTAAAAAAAAAAATGATTTTGACCTTGAATGCTAACTTTAAAACAGCTTAATTTAAAATTAATTATCTAATCTTATTTTAATTAATAAATAATTATATATAATAATATGTCATATAAAAATTATTTTAGTAGAACGTGGAGTTCTAGAATAATTAATTTTTTTTTTATCTTTAAATATATATATTTTCTCATTTTTAAAATGCCTCAGGAAATCTCCCTCTCTTTTCACTCTGTGTATGTATATATTTGTACATATTCATATAATTATACAACAGTTGGAAAAATGTACAAACGTAATAATAATAATAAATTTTAAATCGAAGTAATAATAATAATCATAACTATTTAAGTGTGTGATTGTTAATCATATAAAAAAACTGAAGTATAATTAATTATTTTTCATACCATTTTTTCGGTACCATATTTTTTATTATAACCGTAGTATTCAGAACAGAAAAATAAAAATAAAATAGGTAACAATGCTTCTGTAAATTCCTGTTTGACAGTTGGTCTTGAAATAGTATGTCTTCAAATAATTTTAAACCATTGTTCATCCATTCTTTTTTTACAGTGTTTTTCTTTTTCCTTTGAAAATATTTCTGTAAAATTTTAATTCGCATTTTTATTTTTTTATAAGTGTTCTATTATTAAGAGATCTTATGAGTTGATATTAAAAAATACTTGTAGTTTTAATTTTCCACTTATTTATTTTTATTTTTTGGTTGCTATTTGATTTTTTTTTTTTTTTTGCTGTATCGAAGCATTCTAATAAATTATTAAATTTATAATTTACCTACCTTTCGATTTTATAAAATTTTAAATAAAGTATAAGTGATATATATATATATATATATATATATATATATATATATACACAAGATATATACATATATATTAGGCAAGATATCAATTTCAATGTTCTACTACCGAGCATTGGGTCAGACGGTAGACGCCCACACTTCACATGCCTTTGCCTGTCTATTTTGAGATTACATTCGTATATTTTAAAATGCCGGAATATTAAAATTCTATTTTAAAAATTACATATCGATGGCTCACCTTTATAACCTTGTTCATAAAAACAAATTTTACGCAACTAGAAAAAAAAAACTATTTAATTTAGAGAATTTCTATTTCTTTTTAAGTAAAGTGATTTTTTTTTATATTGAAAAATTGGATTGTTAAAAAACATAAACATAAAATATTATAAGAAGTAAAGTAAATTTATGGGTATTAGTTATTTAAAATATTTTAAAATTAAACTAAAATTACAACAGTATATAGAGAAAAATCAGAGCATTTCGTTATTTTGAAAAAGTCAGTCATTTTAGCAAAACTTTATTGTGATATATATTTGTGTTTTAATACATAAATATACAACCAACTTTATTGAATGAAACTTGATTTTGTTAAAATATATATTATTTGATAGGGGAGAAAAAAATGTATTTATATAAATGAAAAGTTAGTTAAAAAATTGGAAATAAAAAAATATTTCTTTTCTTGTTTACAATCAATACATTACTTGGAATTCGCTGATAATACATTGATCATGTTTTAGGTTTAGGCTACGTTTATATTTTGTTCTTCTCATCCTCGATTCCATGTATACAGTTATAATTGATTCCGTTTGAGCTTTTAATAATAAATAAAATGTATGTTCGAAAACATTATCCAGAAGAGATCCAAATCCAAAATCTACTGATATAAAAATTTTTATTTAAATTATTGAACTAATTTATATTGGAGAGTTCAATGTATATATAAGGTATAAATACATGTAGTATTCCCGGAGTTTCATTATACACTTTAGGATCAGAGTCAATCCAATATTTAAAAAAAAAATTAATTATGATTTTTTATTTCTCAAATCTATCTCCTTCCCCACCGTCATATTGCTAGACATACGATTTTTTTTTGCATTTGAGGCGAAGTATCAATTTTTAATATCTATCTTCTAATGTTAGGACTAACTTATTTACTATAAGAAACCATTTTTTTTTTTCATTTTCATTTTCAATCATTCATATTTATTTCTCTACTGTATTAATGAATGAATGTATAATAATGTATGAATATATATATTGTAGGAATGAGTACTTATAGCCTTAATACTTATTTTCCTTCAATGTATTAGATTGAATTATTTAATATTCAATAAAAAAAGTTAAAAAAATATTCACAAGTATGGTTCGACAATTTTCATTAGGCTTCGTGATAGTCAATCAATCAATAGATATATATTGTTAAATTATATAGCTGTTTATTTTATTTTTTTTGTTTTTTTTTACTTCTTTGCTAGGAGATAAGGAATTTTATTTAGATAGGGAAATGTCGGGGAAACATCCTGTAATTTAGGTTTTTCTTACTTTTTACATTTCTTCTACTTCTAAATAGAACTTCTAGACTCCCCTTCAGAAGACAGCAAGTGTAATCCAATCGGATACCCCGAAGGACGAGACACGGTCTCCCCTCCCGAAGGAGTCTTAGAACGGAAATAGCTTCTGGGAAGCTTCTGAGGGTATTTAAATGGCGTTGGCCTTATTTTAACACTGCCAAGTTCTTTCAACAATATATATGTCACCTAGCTGTCGGGTCTTCTTGACCTCTCGAAATATCCACGTCTTGTCTTTCACCAGCTTTAACTAGATTTTCTGTATTTTTAAACAAAGACTTAATTTTAATATATCTAGTAGGAAACGTGTTAATTCGGAATCCGGTATCGGAAATATGAGATATTTTTAAAAAAGTAAAAAATTTATCGGTTTGGTGGGAAAACACTTATATAAAAACCCAACTAGACCAGCCAGTGGAAATGGAAATTCCAAAAATTGGTGGGAGTGGCGGTTTGCCAACAATTGGAGGAAAGGTGCCAACAACCTTCCAGCCTATTTACAGATAGACTAAGATTCTCACCTCCAATTCTCCAATCCTTCTTTTATCGCACTTTACCATATTAAAGATCCAATTGTGGTGAAAAAGGAAAATATGATTTTATAGGGTTTGTACTATGAATTCCGAAAACTACAAACCTTTCAGCCCAAAACGTTTAGGACCATAACTATATACATAGTTTTTTTGTTTGTTTTTTTATTTAGAAAAAATACATTTTGCCTCAATTAAGTGCATTGAGTATTTAGGATGAATGAAATATAAACATACCATATATACAATAAAAGGAAAACAAGATTATAACAAAATAAAATAAAATAAAACTTGGAATAACAGAATAAATCGATCATGATACAACATTAAATAAAAAAAATATATATAAAAACACATTCATACTTATTTACAATATTTACAGTCAGCCGAGGGAGCTCCGAGTCGGGTCTTTTCCCCCACGTGTGGAGGATAAGGCAAGACTCCAAGAAATCGCAGCGCTTCTCTCTCAGCCGCATCACTGAGATAGGGATCCAGTGGAGACTGAGAGAGGGCACTAAAGCCACATACGCTCATGACTTGAATGGAGAAGTCCATTGCCAGGACTCCAATGACGTCTTTACAAATGATCTCGAGGCCACTGCCGCTTCAATTTACGAGGAGGATTGTAGGGATAAGGATTGTGCTAAGGGATTAGGATGATGGATTAGGTTCTGATAAAAATTTGAAAATCGGGATGTAATAACGTCAAGGACATAAGGGATGTTAAGGTCATGATGTAAGGTTTTGTTCGTAATATAATAAGGAGCATTGACTATTATACGGAGGACTTTAGACTGGAAGGATTGGATGCGTTTGATATTTGAAAATTTAGTTGTCCCCCACAGTTCAAGTCCGTAGGCAGGACCATAAATAAAGCTATATGGTACGTCAAAAACATTACTTTACATAAAGATCTAAACATGCAAACAGTTTACCCAGATACGGATACACTAAAAAAATTAACGATAACTTACATGGATATATTAGTACA